TTTTTTTTTTCTTCACATATATGTCTCGTTTGAATTACTCGATTAGATCGATTATTAAAACATCGGACGTGAATCAAGTGTGCATGTATAAATTATCTATGAGGATTACTATAACATACCAGACGAGGCTCATCAACACCATGGCCACTTGAAGACGTTGTGGACTTTTTTAATGCTCGAAATGTATCATGCCACAGTCCTTTTATATTTTTTAGGCTGCGCTTTTGCGCTTCTTGTTCACTATCGCCAATACTACTCATCGAATGTCGATGAGATTTAAGCAATTCTTGCTAAAATATAGATAAATATAATATGAAAACAAAAAAAAACTATTCAAAAAAAAAGTGATCAGCATACACGACAACAACATTGACAAATCGACATGATTTTGTATAAAATAACAATCTCTCTCGTTTTTTTTTCTATGTTTCAAATCGTTAACTACAATCTGTTGTTTCATTGAAAACTATATTATGTCCTTCTTGTCTATATGGTTAATGCTCGCGTATATATCATACAAAGCTATATGACAGCAGTTGTAAAACACAAATAGAAGAAATGAATTAGTTTTAAAGGGCACAAACATAAAAATAGACGAAAATAATTGATGTCTTATTTTAATCTACTGAAAACAAATATATTTTTGTTTTTATGTTACCTAACACAAAATAACTTATTGAAGCCATGAATATCTATGATTAGTATCAGTTTTTGAACATAGTAACCAAGTAAAGCATACACCCAGGAGGGTAATTCATCAGAAAGACATCTGTTCCCTTGCCCCTCTCCTCCCCAAAGGACTAGTAGTTTTTTCTTTCATCACGATTATTTATTCTTTGTACATACAGGAAAAACTGATCAAATTATTAATGTTTCCATGTCATACTTTATGCTAATCGTAAAATGAGTGTGTTGAAATCATAGAAGATAGAATACAGGAAGTATCAAAACCAAGTCAATTTATATCTTATACTCTTATTATTCTGCCTTTAGTATTATATAAGAGGGTATTTTTATATTCTACTAAAACTGTCAGATTTATGATAAATGTTCGGAGTTCTTCAAATAAATGGTATCATTTTTCTTTTCGATAAAAATATATAACATATATTTAAGTTATCATGATTTTTTTATCGTGCTGTGACTCCGCCCTACAAGTAAAACCTATCTAAAAGAAAACA